CATACTCCGTAAACTGGGACCAGCTTTGGCTATGCTCCACCCTAATAGGGATCTAAATTCACGGTGTTGCATCTGCACAACTGGAACTTCTCAGAGCTTTGGCTCCTGTGTCTATCTTAGTGCCTTGTTTTGGTATCTCCAATGTTGGACACTCATCCTGTGAAAAGAGCAGTCACCATGGGCCTTAGGAAACAACATCTGCCCAACGGGCTTAATGCCTGCAAGATCTGGCCAGGTTTGACTTAAGGTGCCCACACACCTTGCGATAATTGCGGGAAATCTCGCGATCGTACGATTATCGTAAGGTTTGTGGAAGCCGTGCGACCTCTACTACTGTAAGGTCGCACAACTTTTATCTTACGAACATGTTTGAAAAACCGCCGAGAATCGTACGATTTTCGGCAGGTGTGTAGCATGTTCGTAAGATAAAAGCTGGACAGGCCGGTGTGTGCAAGCGCACACTGCCCGTTCGGCATTGCGGTCATCGGAAGTACGATCTGCCTGTCCAAGATAGGCAGATCGTACGTTTTTTTAAATTACCTTACAACCATCGCAAGACAAAAGTCTTGCGATGGCTGTAAGGTGTGTGCCCAGGCTAAGTCAGGTTTCAGCGTTGGCAGCTGCTTGAATGTTTAGTTTCAACCTCGGTTCCATTAGAATAATTATGCATCTCGCCAGTTTATGGTTAGGTTCTATCATTCATATCTTGCCTACTCTTCTTGGGGTGCTTCCCATGCACCTTACTCCTTCAGTCGTGCTAACTTTTTAGGACAAAATTCTGGGTCTTTGATCTTTGTTTTTCAATTTAACATTTAATACAAGACAAAGAATTCCCAGATCACTAGGGGTTAGGTAAGGACCACATCAGACAAAGCTTGCTATGAGGCTACATTTGTCTGACTAAAACCTCAGAGAAGAGAAGGGTCAAACTGCTATTATGACTCATTCAGGCAGTGATACTGCTTCAACAAAAGGTGCCTAGTGCTGGATGGATGGGAAACTACATACTATGAATATATAATGTTTAGGGGCTCACGCACATGGAAACCTGAGGTCATATAAAATACGCCAAAATAAGCAAAACCAATGCACATTCCTTTTATGCGATCCATAGACCTCTGTATATAATCTGATAACACATAACTGAAAACTGTCCGGCACCTACATAGAGAGCAATGTGCAGTTCAGCAGTGTTCCAGTGTGAACACGTCTTCTTATGTCCGTGGGTACTCAAAAGCAAACAGTCTGTATTTGAATCTCTTTATTCTATTAAAAAGTTTAAAATATTTTACAGTAGGGGTAGTGTCCATCCAATTCTGACTCCAATTATTCTAGTCTATTGCTTCATATATTGCCATGAGAATTCCACACACACAGCCTAAATGAAGTGATGAGAGACATACTTTACAGTACTGTGTACTTTTATGACTTTTCTATTGCTTGTTCTGCATTTTCCAGTGCATAGTTCTTAAACGCAGCTGAGAAAAAATGTTTACTGGACTTCAACCATTTCATATCTTCTGGCTTCATGCCCCATGTTATCCCAGGTAATGTAATAACTAATTATGTAGCAGGACCATGTTCAGAACACAGCATTGTGGCTCCATCTCCAGAGTGCAAAGCTCAGTTGCCGTTCTCACCATGGCAGATAGACATTGTGTGGCTCTGATTCTGGTTCTAGGAGTTTCTTTGGTGGGCTTTACTGCAGGTAAGGCTGAAATTAGTATAGGAAGAATTATTGTTTTCTGACTTACTGCATTTGGACTGAAATTCTCTCTGTACTGGGAAAAAAATGGGGGCTGTCATTGCTCACCTACTGAAAATGATAGTTGCCTTACTGTCCCTGGCTTCAGTTTTCAAGGCATTGAGCTGGAAGACAACTGCAATAAGCTGGGTCACAATGAAGTCAGAGCTCCTGACTTGCACACTTGTAACCCAAACTATAAAAAAAAAATTATTCCCATGAAAACTAGTCATGCTAGCATTTTTCAAAACATCAGCAGTGGTAGACTACACTTCTTTTTTTTAAACATTAATTTTTATTGGAAGATTTCAGTATACAACATCCGAATGATACAGTAATAAAGCAAATTACAGGTCATATTGATATTGAAGAATTTGAAAA